CTTTCCGTTTCTAACGCAGAGTTAACAGTTGCTATATGAAAAGGAGAGTTTGAAGTTTCCTGTTTCCTTCTCCCAGAGCATGGCACTCACAGAGCAACCTCAGAAGGAAGAAGGATGAGTGGCCTTGAGTTTGGCTCGAATCCAGAACCTCTGAGTTATGAGTCCAATGCTATAAAGAAGGGATAATCCCGGTTTCAAGCAACGCGTGGCAAATTCGTTGGTGAATCGTTGTTAAGACAAAGACTGCTGCTCGCCAGAATCGAATCCATCACTTCCAGGGTTCGAAGCCGATGTAGTATGCTGAACGCCACCATGCAACGATCTTATGTAGAGAGCCATATCTGCCGCATCTGTCATCCATCGAAAACAAAAATGGAATCAATAGTGACCGAAAAGGGGAAAGTTCCGTTTCACAGTAAGTACCTCTATATTTCACTGAAATCTCCTCGTATCTGTCTCACCAAAGCCTAACATACCGTTCAGATATAAGTTCTTTCTTCCTAAAATGCTGTCGTAGAGGTACTACTGTTTGGCGAGAGCCCAGCAGCGAAAGATCATGTTGAGAGCCCTCTATTTAGGCTCTATTATTGCGACTCCTGAATAGTTACCCTCGCTGAACAGAATTGAGGTAAAGTGATTGACTGACCTGTTGGAAGAAGTTCTACAATGCATGCTCCACGCAGAATAAGTATACTACTTCGTTTTATGAATGCCGGTAAACTTCAAAGGAAACACTTACTTCCGACTGTATTGGCAAACGGTCAAATCCAAAATGATACGCACACTTTTGGCAACCGAGCCCAGGTCCGAGTAAGGAAGGTAAATTTCCCTTTCGTGCCTATGACAAATAAGGTAAGACTTGCGGTCCTTAGAAAGTTCTAAAGCGAGGTCGTATGACTTTGAGTTTTTCATGCCTTTTGTACCTAAAATTAAAAACTCAACAAAAGTTCAAATTCTGAACTGCAAGCAGACAGTACCTGATGTACATCTATCGGTTTGTGTTCATCACCGGAATATCAATAATCTATAAAAAACAATGTTGAGTATTTTAACTGAGGGGCAAGTTCTTCAAAGAGTGGTAAAAAAATTTTTATATAAATATACGGGGAATACCTTGTACTGATCACCAAATAGAGGCGAGTCAAGCGAACAGTTGTAAAGTGCACGTCTTAGACAGCATGATCGTATTTCGTGCAGATTCTGGCATCGCATGCATCAGAACACCATGAATACCCGAGGAGAAAGGGGACTCGACAGTCAATTTGACTCAAATTAACTTGACAATGGTTATGGTAGCACAGTGAGTAAAGCCGCCCCTTCCATATACAATTAAATTTTCGTCCATGCTAGCACCGGTTAGAAGAAAATAGTCAAGAACAATGTTGAATAGCGTATCCCAACTGGCGTACTCGTATTTAATAGGGAGCTATTCTGATAAATCTCCCTCGATTTTTGACAGCAGACACGGTTCCTGCGCACGTCTCTTTCAAAATGGAAATCATGCCTCCAGTATACCACAACATTTAGAAAGAATTTTTGCATCATCAATGAGGTAGGGAACCAATTGCAGCATTAAAGACGAAGAAACTGGCAAACCAAAGTGTCTACAATTGTCGGCATTGCCCAAAAGATAAAATTTCGCTCAGGGCAGAAATATCTCGCCTAGACTGCAGATTTACTTGCTTACCCATTGCTTTGTCCACAGATATGTAAAAATTTATTTTCACTGCAATGAATATTTCAATTATTTTAGCGGACTTTATTTATTTATTTTATTTTTCTTACACTTATGATGAAAAACAGGTGTCTGTATATCTTGTCCAAACAGTAAATTTTCAACTTCATTTACAATGAAACAAAAAATAACCTGCATTTTTGATAACAGAGATGCACAGTGATGATGACTAAACAAAATCCATCTAACCAATAAAGCAATTACGAATCAAGAAAAAATGGAAAACGGACATGTGTATTTTTAACAATCCGCGTAAGCTGCAGCTGACCAGACGGTATAAAACTTACGGCAGACCCATTAATTAATCAATCAATTGGGTTTACTAGCTTGTGGTGCGACAGGAAATACTACCGTACCTATCAGCAATGGGGCTAGAGAACAGCAACAAAGGAGAAACAAACAGTAGAAAATAAAAGCCAGCATGAAAATTCTTGCGGAAATTGTGCATGTTGATCTGCCACGATGAATAAGGTGCAGACGATGAACGGAATGATTTAGCCTTTTGCATTGCTGTTCGTTTAAACCAATAACTGGATACAACCCAAAGAACGAAAATGACACCAAGAAGTCATATAGAGAACCTGCAGACTCAGAGAACCATCACCGTTGGAGACAACTCGTTTCATATTAATTATATGCCACATGTGAACTACGATCTTTGGAATATACTGTAAATACAATTTGGATTTTCAGGTTTGCCGGTATGTATAAACTTATCTTCCCTCCCTAGAGCATGTTCCGAGAGCCGAATTGACTTGCACTGTGAACGTTCGACGTGAGTGGCGTGAGTGACAAAACGGCTATCCTGTCTTCACTTGTTATACAAACCGTAATTTAGCAGTTTTAACTAACCGTCTTTTATATATGTAAAGTTCTTATGAATGCTTTTTATACCTTAAATTTGTGACTTATTTCTTTCTTTTTATCCGAAGATGAAGTTTCGCGCGTTGGTGACCATACTTATAAAATAGCGTAAAACAGGGTTACTTATACACAGCGTTAAAGATATTGTGGTCAGGCGGTGGCTGACCAATACCGACGTTTCGGCCCGTTTCTCAAGGCCCTTCTTCGCGGTAGATTGGTGGTGAAGTTTCATGAATGTGGTTAGTCGTCCGCGAGAGTCGATAGTTTCGGAGCCAAGAGTACTCCGGACTGATCATAGTGTCTTTTGCGTTGTTTATAAGTAAGCCATGTTTTACGCTCTTTTCCTTGTTTTTTCTTAATATATCTATGCCTCTTTCGTCCTTGCTCCTTGTTACAAGTTTCATGCTGGTAACTGTACGATTCGACTTAATGCATGCATTTATATTTATTGTCATTCTGATTGTTCATTGATTTGTCTGTTGTACTTAAGGTAGAGTATTTTATTTGTACGTTTGTTGTCATACGTAAAGGTTGCTACAAAAGATCTCAGAAGTGGCAGGAAACCACCGCCCTTTACACCTTAAAAAACACTCTTGAAACACGGGTCCAACTGTTGGTATTGTT